GTTGGTTTGCTGGCTTCTGGAATGATGCTGCTGTGCTGCGGGCTCCTGCCACGCTCAGCAGTGGCATGGGACACCCATCCTGTGTCACAGAGAGCTGCTGAGGTCCTAAAATAAATGTTCAGGAAATGTTTCCTTGCAATTTGCGACCTGGAAGAGGGCTGTGCTGCCACTGGGCTACAACTGGGACCGATGCTGCCAACGTCAGCCTTTTGGGAGAAACAAGTTTCGAGCAGGAAGGAAACATCCTCTGGCTAGGGGATGGCCAGCTGATATCTTCACCGGAGAGAACATTTAAATGTGTTTCTACGTCTCTGTCGTCTGTTCACCTTTGTCTGCACTCTGGTTTGTCAAGAGTGGGGGTTTAACTGGGGCTGTGGAGAGACGTCGACAAAGGCAGCTGCCGTGGAGGTGTGACCGTGGACATTTCCGCTATTCCTGCAAAGAAGCACCTGCTGCAGGTCACGTTCCTGCTCAGGTATGGGGACAATCTGACGTAAAAGGCCACAGGTTAAGGCAAGAACGGCAGCACTGGGCAGGTCCAAAGGTCTGCCTAACCTCAGCCCTCCTTTCTGGTTTGAAGAAAGTGCCCCTGCCCTGCCCGCCTCCACTGCCGGGTGCCAGCGTCAGCGCCGGGGCACTGCCCCGCTTTCCTGTGAGAAGGGGAAGGTTTGTGAGGACGTGGCTGATCTCACGGGAGGTGACCGCCCTGCCAGCTCTCCAGCTGGGGCGGATCCCAGCGAGCCATTTCGGAAGGCCGTGCAGCTCTTGCTGCGGGAGCAAGCAGGCAGACGCCGAGTTCAAACAAGTGGTGACTGATGGAGTTGGAGGCAGCAGCTCCAAGTCAGCGATTTGAACACAAAATCTGTAACCTTTTTTGCATTCCCCTCGCTTCCTCAGTCTCCGAATGGCAGCGCTGGAAGGTGATTGCTCTTGGATGTAGTTTCCTAAGCTGCTTGTGGTGAGAAATCCACCTCCCTTCCTACCCCAGGCTCACCATAGGGCTGTAGCTGCAGTGGGGTGTCCAGGTGGGGAAGTTCAGCACAGCGTGCGGAGGGACGAAAGAGCAGGAAGGCAGGAGGAAACCCTGCTTGGGATGGCTAACCTACTTAAAACACCAGGCAATTAATTTCTTAATTGGATTGAGCTGGAATGTCCCTGTAATTGTAGGTGAGCAGTGACCCTGCTCTTGCTGCGGTATCTCGGTTGTAGCCGTGGTTGCCTCTGGCTTTGAGGTGCTCCCATTCCAGCGCAATGCCTTCGGAGATGTGCCTGCTCCAGCATGGCCCTACCCTTGGCTGCAGTCTCTCGGGGTGCACCTGCTGTGTCGTGGGCTTATCCGTGGCCACGGGCTTTGGGGTGCTCCAGCCTGACCTTACGCACAGCCACGGATGCTTCATGGTGGACCTGCTGCGGCACGGACTGACGCACCACCACAGATGCCCTGGGGTGTACCTTCTCCAGCATGGACTTGTCCTTGGGCCGCCATCCTTCAGAGCTAGACCTGCTGCAACACGGACATAACCACGGCCACAGATGCTTCGAGATGTACATGCTCTGGCGTGGGCTTGTCCACGGCCACAGATGCTTTGGGGTGTTCTGCTCCCATGTGGATCTACAGCCACAGTCCCTTCCACTCGAGCTCATGCCGGGGTTCCAGCCTGTCCCGTCCAGCAGCAGACACAGCGACGATGCTGCGGCCGTCTGCCAGCCCAGGCGTGTCCCCACGGCTGGTATCCGAAA